GCCTACTGCGCCCTCCACCGGGTGCTAAGGAAGCAGTTCAGGGAGAGTCGAAGGCAGGCAGGGAGCTTTGCATGACATTCTTCTGGACGTGTTTCATTGTGATGACAATCTGTTTGTTGGAAAGACAGTCGTTGTGTGCTTATTGAGAGAAAATTGTTAGAAGAGATAATTATTCAAAGTGTTGTTACTTTAAAGTGTTGTTACTGACCTTTTTCTCTTTTATTTTCTTTACCTCACCTGTAACTGCTGAGACGTTGAGGAACATGCACTGACCTGCTCTGGCAACCTGATTTCCACTGTACGTAATAGTATTTGGTTATGGTATATTATTTATATACATCAAAGGCACAATGCACCCCCCAGAGACACACATGTATTGAGTGTGATATGTTGCATAGGTCATGTGAAATCATCTTTACATACTAGAAAACTGTAGGAGCGGCAACTTGTTTTGAAATTGAATTTTTAATATCCGATAATAAAGTTGATCTGTTTTCTTTATTCTTCTCTCTTCCCAACTCCATCCATTACCGTTCTCTGTTCCTGCAGGTCCTGCTTGCTAATCAATGCTCATATTTTCTTACACAATTACAAATAAAGTCATTGTATTGTATGACATGAAGTTGTGCTTCATTCGGAGTCAATAATAAATTCATTCTGCCTTCAACTGCGCAATGATTGTGGACTGCACCGACATCCATGTAGCTGCCCCCCCAGTAAGATGAACCAAGCAAAGAGGGTCACCATCATGCCCAAGGACATCCAGCTGGCCCGCCGCATCCGCGGAGAGAGGGCTTAGACTGACCTGAGACCAGCACACCCAAACACAACGGCTCTTTTAAGAGCCACCTACAGTTTCAAAGAGTTGCAATCCTACGTTATTATAATGATTAAACTGGTTCATGTATCACTTAGTTTACTGAACCGTGATGAATGAAAGTGAAATTAGTGAGGTAGTGGTTTACTGAAGTTACAAAGACATTAATATATGAGTAACAGGTCAGTGTAAACACAAGCTTCTGTCAATTATGGATCATTCAAACTATATATACAAATATGTAATAAAGTTCTAAAACAAGTATTCGGTATATTCCTTGATAGCTTTTGGAGAAGGTTGTTTTTAAGTTTACTAAAATCTATCGTTTCAACTGTTTCACTTTATAAAAAAGGAACAGGTGAGTAGAGCATCATTGAGTTTCTTATTCTGTCAGTAAATTATCCAAATGAATGTTTTTCATTATTTTAGTCAACCCTAAACAAATTGATTGTACCTTTTAATGATGACCTTACATGGTCAGCAAAGTTAAATTAACTTCATAAAATCAAATCTGTTCTGAGAAAAAACTAATAAATGTTTAAAGATAGGAACTTGCCATCCCACTGAAAAACAGTCCGTAGAGATTTAAAGGCGTAGTTGTAGTTCAGTCCAACTTTCATTTGGATTCATTTGATAACAGTCAACTATTTTCATAAAGAATATATATATTTTTCAAAGTCAACTTTATTGTCAATCTTACTCAGTTTGTTTGAGAGATCAAAAAGACGTTTAAATAAAATTATACAATTTACAGATATGTATACAAATATATATATCCTATATACACCATCATGTATAATGATGGTGTATGATGTAGAAGGAAGTGTGGTAGATAACAAGTAAATATAGAGTTACATACAGATCCATGTTACAGCAAAAGATGGAATAACTCAGAAGCACGCAGTATAATAATAATTACATGCAACAATTAAATAACTGCTCAGCATCTCCACCACAATCCCAATCTGCTGTGTCCCGTTTTCCTCCCCTCTGCATAACACCCCATCACACATACGAAACACAACGCAGAGTCCGAGGGTGTTAAGAGTATGTTTATTGAAATGTCCTCCTCTCTACTGGCCAACACAGGGAGCATATGCTGGGTGTAGAATTGTTCCAGGAGGAGGAGATTTCCATGCCATGCAGGGTCTTTGGGGATGGGGATGATGATCGCCTCCTTCGTGGTCCACACAACAAAGTAGCAGAGACTCCGGTCTGTGATATGCAGCTGCCCTTGGACCTGGTGCCAGTATGGGTGATTCTCCTTGAGAATATATGACCCACCCTCCTCACGGAGACAGAAGGATGGTAACTGGACTGCCTCCGCGATGGTCATGTTCCTCTGGCTGTGTGGACACTTCACCTCCAGCAGGGCAGATGGCTGCACAAGACCATCGGGTGATGCTCCCAAAACACCCGACTCACTCACAAAGAGACCAGACTCGATTCTAACACTGTCACTTGATAGGCCTCCACAAAAGCCTTCACCTCTTCGGCCTCGTTTACAACCCCCCAGTTGACAGTTGGCGATGTCTCTGGCCAGTGGGTTGTATGTCTCCTCTCGCTGTTGGTAAAGTTGAGACACCGGCTGGACTACTTTGGAAGTGCCAGGCTTCCTCCACTGGCACTCAACATCTGTGGAGCTGATCTGCCACATGGAAAATATTGCCAATGCTGCAGCGTGGCTGCATTTGTACATCTCCTGTGCACAATCACAGACAGCGCTCTGCATCGCGCCATCGTCTCCCATGCAGATCTGTAAAAATAAAGTAAGTACCATTTGTTAACATGCTATAATAGATTGAATGAGCAATAATACAAGGATGGTCCGGATCTGGGGGTGGGAGGGTTTATTTTTCCATAGTTTTGTCCTCTTGTCTGTTGTTATTGTTTGTTTTTTCTGTATTTTTTGTAATTTGTGTTGTATTGGTTGTGATTGTACATTGTATTTTTCTAACTGTGTATGAATACATTTTTGAAAAACATTTGATCAACAATAAAAAAGCATTTGGTCAGGATCTAGACTCAGTGTGTAGTTTATTAATTAATCAATGCTCTCTACATTAGGAAAACACATACCGGTGTACCAGAGGGAGTCACACACAGCTGTGACTAGATAACCAAAATCCTTGAATCGACACACAGCAAATAAACTCAAAGGACACAACGAGAAAAAGGAGATCACGCATACAGTATAGTCGATATCAAATTGGCCGCTTCAATCTGAAGAGCAACTAAAACAAAACACGGGAGTGTACCTTGTTCTTGTGAACACTAATGTTATCCACAGCATACACAGAGACCACGAAGTTCTTAAGGAGAAAACTAGTTGCTAAAACAAAACACGTTAGTGTACCTTGTTAGCTAATGTTAGCTAGCTGACATTAACGTTACACATTGCACTCATATTACTCACCGAAACCTTGTAAAGCCGGTCCCGCATGCTGGCTCTTACAGAACCGACTAACTCCCATTTCATATAGGTACAGTTCTCAACGTGCCCAGACTTGTAGTAATTTTCACCTCGTAAAATACTTTTATTCTCATTCTGAAAGAATGTGGTGAAATGTGCTAACGTGACGGCCATCTTTATGTTGATGACGCGTATTGTGCGAGACCAGAGACCTGTAGTTCACTGAGCGGTTTCACACGAAAAAATGTGTAACTTCACAGTTTTACGACACATTTGTATTTTTTTGACTTGCAAAATGTTCTTTTAAATTGACAAACATCATATGTGTCATTCGTGGCACAATTCAAACGGGATCAAAAGATAACCTTTCTCTCTCCATTGACTTCAATGTATAATTTTCCGCTTCCGGGGTCCCATGGAGGCTTTCGGAAGGGGAGGGACTTCGCCTCTCTATTGTATCACCGCCCTTAAAAAGTAGCAAGCAACTGAAACAAGTGCAATTATGGAGGGTGGAGATTTGGAGTATTTCATCAAAAATAATTGAACTAAACTTCCGCTACAGCAGCAACTAAAAATGAAATCTGATGACAGGCCAATGCCCAAACTGGAGCTGTGTACAGAGAGGGGAAAAAGGAGCGAATCGAACGTAAAACTTTAAATAATAAACAGCGGATTTCTAACATTTGACATTTCATGTGGCCGGACTGGGTCAATTTCCAGGGCTGAATTTTAGTCCCAGTCCGCCTGTTAATGTACGCATTCAAACACTTTTTCTTTTACCAGCTGTATTCACCTTGCAGGTGCAGCTATGTGGCTTTTATCCTGGATAAAGTGTTTAAATCATGGATGTTTAAAGTTTAACTTCTTCATATGTCTAATATTATAGTTAACTTTTCATTCAGGAAGTATGACGCTGCGCTGTCAGTACGCTTGTCCATGTTTGTGATTGGTCGAATGCTCCAGATACCACCCCTTTCATGTGAACGCGCACCTAACTAGATAGGACACGGCTGGCTTGAGCGATCCACTTGATAACCAGCGTCGTAGTACAGTTTAGCGAGAGCGCGTATGTTTTGGATTAGGCCAACCGGCTAACTCAAACATATCCAGGTTAGGTTGAACCAGCTTCGTAGTACAGGCCCCTGAGATAAGAAGGTAAAACCAATATATGTTATGTTGAAACACGAGTCCGATTTAAAAAAAAAAAGTGAATGTATGGACAAACTAAGTCAATAAATAAGTACAAAATATATATATATAATAGCTTAAGGATATTTCAACCTTAACGTCTGGAAAGTACTAACTGAAATAGAGCACTTAGACCACGCATTAGAAATAGAGTGCATAAGAGAGAGCACTTTCTTGAGGCAATGAGTTCGATTAGTCACCCATTCAAAGAAAACACTGAATCCAAATAATACAGCCACAAATAAAACCTTTAATGCAATAGTGATCGAAATGCCAGGAGGCTGTCTGAACAAACAGACTGTGAGAGTATATTGCATAGGTTGTTAATTGGGGACAGTCCTGCATGAAAGCTGAGTGAAAAGAAAAACCTGTGCCTCCAACAATCCTTCAGTGTCCCTCAGCAATAAAGTTCCTGTTGACTGTTGACCATTTTGAAAAGGTGTCTGCTTTTCCTGTGGAAATGTTTTCTTTACAATCTCCCAGTGTTTGTTTCAAGATATTGCGGGAGTGTATACTGATGCAAAGCATGGAGGTGGTGGCTGGTCACTGGGTCATGATGAATGTCCACTGCAGTGCAGAAAGTGGTGTAGAAATCCTTCTTTATTCAAACAACACTTTAAGTCACACTGAGACCTACCAGTCCATGAGCACATTTCACAATGGTTTGTAAAAACAACATTTGAATCATTAAAATTGTTTCACATTTGTAGATAAGCTTGAGGTTTGCTAAAAAAATGCTATAAATAAGAACAAGTTGCTAGTTTGGCTTCGATATAAATAATGTAATAATACATAGTTCAAACAGACACTTCTCTCTAAAAACATTTAAATATTTTCAAATATTGCATTTACGAAACCATGTCTTTTAGTGCTCTTATTCATAAAGTTCTCCACAGATTAGTTAAAGCCATTTTCAAATGCCAAAGTAGTATGGGGTGAGCAGAGGTTTGCCATAAGGACAGGTTTAGAAAAACAATCTCAGCCTCCCTGAGCAGAAAGTCACATCAATACCACATTTTAAATATTGAATAAAAACACTCAAAAGCTTGGCAAAACACACCACCCTCCATATTGGCTTGTAACTCTCAGTACAAGCAGGAACGGCCTTAGCATGCCTTTTCGTAGCTCGAGATGTTCACTACTCAATGCAAAGGCTAATATTGCAGTTCACACGCTTCTAAAACTCGAATCAAATCTATTTCTTTACAGGTCAACTGAAGTCCTTTGCTATTGCACAGAAATACAGGGCATTTTTCAATGGATATAACTAATGACAAGGCAGGTTATATAGTGACATTTTGGTTTGGTTTGACAGCATAAATGTCCACTGCTCTCAAGAAAAAGAGTAAACCAGAAGACCCAACACAGGTTGCGTCTCAAATTCTATTATTTCTTTGTGTATGAAGATGCTTTCCCCCTGCAGCATGACGTGAACACGCATCTTCATCATTCAAATTTAAGGTTAAAAAAAGGCAAACCCCTTTTATATTAGGCGCAGCTTCATTTCCACATTCCACTACAGCCTTTAGAGACTTCCTCAGTGCTGCAGTGAGTGATATTCATAGAGGTGAACAAGTGCTAAATGAGCGCAACATGATAATAGGACATTCAAGAGCACATTGACAATAAACACACAGGCCTAATATATCCTTTTCTTGTAAAAACATGACTAAGACACAAACAGTTTAGTGTACAGCTTTCATCTAAAAAGGCAAGAAAGTCAAATAAATATTCTTGAAGAAGCCCAAGGACAAACGTTCTCCACTTTTGAACTGAGAGGCGGTTGACTTACAGTGACCTCACAGGTGTGAATGGAGCGAGAGGTAACCGGTCTGAAAGCCCGTTTGAAACGAGCTTAAACAAACAGCCTCTCAATTATAAGCAGTTACTTTGATAAAAACTAGAAAAAGAGGAAAGAAAAGCAAATTGTGATACTGACGGAAGTCTTTCAAACATTCACCACAAATGAAATGTAACAATTTAAAGAGACAGACAAAACTGTAATTGATATTTAAATATTGCAAAACATACAAAAACAGTTTTCTTTGAAGTGTAAACATTGAATTCATGTCTGATGTCATTTCTGCACATGGAGAAATTATATAAAATAAATCATGTCTGTCATGACTATAAATTGTTCTCATTAAAATGTAAAAACAACATACTAAATCTCTTTTTTTTATTATTACTGTAATAATGTTTATGTTAACATTTCTCCGTATAAGTGTATTTACTGTACTGTTATAAATAGTTTATATGTGTAACATCTGAACTCATACTCCTCCAGCTTTGTCTTTACGAGGCAAAAACAATACTCGTGTCTCTGCCGCCGGACCCAGAAACACACACATCCATACCCACGCTCACACTCACACGCACAAGCTGCCGCAGTCACACAGGGGTCACCAGGAGGCTCTATGTGCGATTGAGGGTCTGGAAGATTCTGGATATTTGGAGCATGACAGGGCCGGTCTCAGGGTCGTTCATCCACTGCGTGCTGTTCAGAGGATTCTCCAGCATGTCTTCAAACGCTGCGCACAAACACAGGGGGAACCCGTAAGGAATATATGTTTGAAAGAAACAGCAGCCTTTCAAATATCTTTAGAATTAAATGTAAAAGTGTTTTTGTTCTATAGATTTACTTGATGATATACATTTTCTATTGGTTATTTCTCGTTAAAAGGAAAAGTAGATTGTTCAAGGTCTTTTCACACCTAACCTGTACAGCTCAAAATAAAGCCGGTGCTCGTTTGGTCCCTTTTCATTAGGGGGGTGTTAAAGCTCGAAATCAAACTCGGACCAAACAACCAGCTGGAGATCACTTGAAGACACAAAGCGTATCAACCACTTTACATTCTGATAGCCAAGTGTTCGCATTAAATCAAAAGCTAATCTAGTCTTTAGGAAGCAATCCTTTTAACTGTATAGCCTATGGTCAGTTAAACAATTAATCTGTGGCGATTTGCTTGTAACAAATGTATGATGTAAGAAGTGTAGTTCCATGAAGCAGACCAAAACTAATGACATTACTCCGGTAGCTTGGTTTGACAGATGTTTTTGCAGCACCATAGTGCCATTGACACTTATCACACCAGCCCACATGAGCTGTACTAGCCAGACAAACAGACTCACGTTTGTTTGAACTAAACCAAAAAGGGTACTAGGTGGTAAAGCACCCTAAACAAAAAGTGCATTTTCTCTTTTGTCAGTTAAGTTCATTGCATTTTTTAAATTAGGTTTTTCCCCCCCGTTTCTTTTCAGCCTGCCTCGGTATGTTTGCTACAGATAGTGATGTATCATGTTGTACAGAATGACACTGTAATATCCTGGAGTTTGAACACTCCTACTTTACCTAGCAGGGTCTTGGGATTGGTGAGGCCTAACTGGACCACTGGATTCTCCAGAATGGCTTGGAACAGCGGGCTGTTGGTGTCGATGCCTTTGTCCAGATCTTCTGGAGAGGGTTTCCTGTCCCCCAGCAGCCACTCACACTGCAGCACGGAAACATGTAGTGAGAAACCAAAACTCCCATATGGTTTTAGAAAATACATTCATATTTTGATGGAGGGCACAGTATAGGATTTCTATTCAGATTATTTCCTTCCTTTCAAATGGATATGGTAGGTTTTGCATTGTTGGGCCACACATCTTTGTAACTGACTGCAAATAGGAAAGCTTTCTATCAAAACCAAGAAGGCCAAATCACTATCGGCTGCTGCTGTATTTTTTCTGTGCTTCCAACTCATTTACTGCTGGACCTACCGCAGCATCCTGTTGGTTGTTATTAACCCTCAGAGCATCAACCACTTCCTTCTCATCAAACCCCATCTCCATCAGCGCAATGACAGCCTGCAGAAACAAAGAAAAAGACAATGTGTTGAGTAAAAAAAGTTCCAGTCTCACAAGACACACAGCCAATGTTCTATGGAGCCCAGCAGGTGAGTTGGGGAAAAAATAAAAATGAGCAGACAGTGGAAGAAGTAGCTAGTACTCATACAGTAGTATGTGGAAGTGTTTTAATGGAAGAGAATTGTAATCACTTTTCTATTTTCGGAGACACCGTGGAGCTGTTCCCTTGTTAAACTGAGGTACATTAAACTCTGCAATTAGGGAAATGAGAAGACTGTGACCATAATTAAAGTGACATAAAAACCTTATGACTAAAGCCACTAAACACTTAATATCAGTGCACATTCCAATAATGTCTTTTTATAAGAGTCTGCCTCTGTTCATCCATTACATTTCTAAATACTGAATGTCAGATACAGACTGATCACTGAAAATAATAATTATTAATAAATCATTTTAAGATCTTGGAGCTAAAGGATTCAGTCAGAAATATGTGCTCTATAGAAAACTCCAAGATGAGCTCTATGAAAGTATGTAAAAGCCAGCGTAGTACTGAATGAAAGCTCAGGCAGGATGAAGCCACCCACTCTGGAGTCTGGTCTGAACTCCCGTTTCCTGCGGATCCTCTTGAAGATCTCTGTTAGTTCGTCCTGCCTGCTGCTCTCTTCCGAGCTCGCCTGGCTGGAGAGACTGCGGAGAAGGTTAGGAACAGAGGCGGAGGCCGATGCTGAGGCCGATGCTGAGGCGGAAGCAGAGGCTGAGGAAGAGGCTGAGGCCAAAGGGCCCGGTGTAGCAGCTGCGATGGCTCCTGCTGCCCCAGAGGAGTCCGGGACAGGTATAGGTGCGTCTACAGAGGGGTCGTCTACATGCTCAATAAGCCACTCCATCGCCTGGGTGACTGACATGCTGCAGAAAGAAACATTAGATGAGGAAAACAAAGTGTTTTTGTGCTGACCTATTCCAAATCGTTTGAGTCATTTCCAGTTATGAATGAGTTGTTATTCAAAAAGACTTACTGATTCAATCTAAGGGCTTTGATGGCTCTGCTCTCAGGGAAACCCATCTCAGTGAGCTGCTGAAGGGCAGTTTCATCCACCCGGTCCTCTTCATCTTCATCCAACATCGCTACAAGACGAAGAACAACAAAGAGAGAATAAGAGTTAGGCAATGTGGGAACTGTCTAAAACAATACACATGAGGACTTAAAGTGTTCCAGCAACAATACACACTGAAGTACTGCTCAGGCAGGTCAAAGAATCATTCTGAAGGAGGTTTACTGTGTCTAATGACAAACACTGAGAAAGTACAAGGACGACAAAACAAACCATCTCATTTTTCAATTCGTAAAAGCAATAAAATAAACTCAATTCAATTGTGGCTCAGAGGTTTGCATTACTGCTGAACCGGCGCCAGCTGAGGCTACGTGGAGTTATCCCCAACCCTGTGTTAGCTAACTCCAGGTGCTCACATTTCACACGTCAACTGGAAACCCTGTACTGCCCTTAGATGTAAATGTGTGTATGTGTTGCAACACACTGCCTGCTTGTCCTTGCCGTAACCTGCCTCTTGCGCAATGAGGTTGGCTACAGCCTTCCACAATCCCTCAAGGTGGAAAGAGAATTAATAGAGGGATGTTTTTTTTTTAAATATTGCTCTGTTAAAAAAAAAAAAAAATTCTAAACATCCTACCTCAGGTTTAAACATGTATTTTGTGTTTCTACAAAAACATATTTAGATGCTTTAATTTTTTTCGAAAATGTTTTAACCCTCATCCCGGAAAAAAACCTTCTGCTCCGATTGGCTTCTAATGAAATGGCATACTGTAGGAAGGGGAGCAAAATCTGATTGGCTTGATGAATCCTAACTGATTGCAATGTCCTATGTATTCTATTTGTGGGTTAGCAGAGAAAAGGTGACTGTTGATGATCTGTCTCCTTTATGGCATTGTATGCTTTACCATTGGCCTTTTTGAAGAGTTCAACAGCGTCAGGGTTCAAGGCAAGAAGTTTCTGGGCGACTTCGATGAGAGAAACCAGGATTTTTCTTAGCTCCGTCTGAAACTGGAACAACACAAACAAGAAAAATATTTGATCCAATAGCACATGTCTAAATTGGTAGGATAATTATTATTCATACAATGTATTTTAGATTTAAATCTATACTTTTTTGTGATTAGTTTTAAAAACCCTGTCAGTGAAATCTTCCACCACCCAGACCCTTACATCTCTGATGTTATGCTGGGTGACCGTGCGGTCAGTGTGGCGCGTGGACAGATTGCCGGTGGCTTTCAGAATTGCATCTTTGTCTGGAGCCTTGTTATCTTGCTTCTTCTGTGACAAGAAGGATAGAAAACAAAGAGAAATCATTAAAGGCAGGAAAAATAAGGTCACAACATTTCTGGTGCAGAATTTAAAATAATAATAAAAGCTTACCTTTTCTTCTGAACTAACTTCTGCCATCTTTGGAGGGGTCGGCGGCGGTCTTTTCTTTATGAGCAGCAACACTTCTACAACATTTATGAAACTTGGTCAGTTCAGGGAAGACAGTGTGGGATCGTCATGATCGGGTTAAATAGGTCATTACAAACCTTTATCTTTTAGATTTTCATCAGCGACAGTTTTGCTGTCTGTGAGGACTCTCTCTGTAGCAGCATGTATGAGTTTATGGTGGGTAAGTGTTTTGGGGTCTTCTAGACTTCCGTGCACATACTGTAAAAACAAAACACAATATAAAACATCTTAGCAGACAGGACAGAAGAGATGCACCTTTTGACTCTTTATATTATTACCAATTAATCATACAATCTAGAATCTGCAAGAAAAAGTGACATCTTCAAACTGTATTTTCTGTTTGACGAACAGAGCAAACTGTAAATATTGTATTTACAATGTCATAGAACCAGAAAATAGGAAATGTTCACATCAGAGGAAGCTACAATATATTTGGCATTACACTTAATACTTTGTTTAAATTATTGGTCAATATTGAAAATTGTTGTTAATTATTTTTTCCGTCAGTTAAAGCTGTAACAAAAACAAGTACAGTTTACCAGCAGCAAATACATGATTAAAGCTAAAGCCAAATATCAGACCAATACATATTCGCGGTATTTGCTGCATATCTCTTTGTCATATAATTGTACATTTAAAAAAAAAAAAAAAAAACCAGAAAGCGTCTTTGAGTTTTTAGAAAAGCGCTATATAAAAGTGTCATGTATTATTATAAAAACATTAAAAAAAACCTGGGACTGAGAGATTTTAAACAACTCTTTTTATTAGGTTCTATTATAGACGTATCTACTAATCTTAAAGGCAACTAATCAACTACTTATTTTAGCACTAAAACTATAAAAAGGTAGATGATGTCCAAGTAAAGTTAGTAAATGAAAGCCAGATGTCTGGTAATACATTTCTATTTCCAACGTGAACTCTGTGTTCATTTGTTGTTGTCACACAGAAATGTGTAATTGAATCTGCACACTTCTCACGTCGTCATGAGAAACAAACATTAGTGTGCCACCTGATGTTATGCTATATAGGCCATAGAAGGAGAAGCTATACGAGCTGTATAATAATAGACAGCCAGTAAAGCAGCATGCCTCTCTGTCTAGCCACCACTGTTAACAGAAAAGGGGCAGAGACGGACTTTTAGCTAGCTAGCATGAGAGGGGCAGCCAACCTGCTAAATTATAAATAGCAAGGTCTACCCAGTTACTATAAATACAAAGCCAGTGACACTGACAGTTTACACAGAGGGTTGGGAAAAATGCAAACACCCCAGGCAGAGGAGTGACAGGACAAAAAAAGCAACAAGGGAAAACACAAACAACCCAAAAACCTACATGTTTCAAGCACTTCTCCTTCAGTTTCTCAACAGTGGTGTCTTCCGTGACCTCCTCCAACCACTCCGTGCCGTCCATGGTGCATATATGTATTTTCAACACTTTCCCGGCGAATATCTTCTCCTCCTGGACGAACATAGCTGCAGTCTGAGGGGGAAGAGTACCAGTCCAGTGACGTTAGCTAGCAGCAGTTGCTATGTGCTCCTGGCAAGCTAGCGTGCTAATGTTAGCATCCAGCTAGCCGTCGCTCCTTAAATCCTCCGACAGCTGAGTAACACAAGGCGCTGATTAGCTGAGGGCCATCTCCGCTTTCCTCTGCCGGCTTTCGCTGTGGTGCCAACCGGCTAGAGTTCTCCGTGACCACCGAGTTGTTTATTATTCCCAGCAAACAGACAAGCTGCCAGACAGCGAGTACCCTATTTTTACTGTAATATTTGAACTTTGAACTTCAACGACGCAACTGCGCGATGCATCATGGGGGCCGTAGTTCTTATGAGGCAAAGGCCGTCCAGTGGATACAAAATCAACCTGGTTCATAAACATAAGTGTAGTGTTGCCTGAGTGTGTATACACGTATCGTATCATTCTTGTTTTTTAACTGGTTGTTCACTGCCCATGTAATTGATATAATTTAGATTTAAATATATTTACATTTTGTAATTCAGATGTTGAAACATTAGAACAAATCTTCTTGTAGTATAACTTCAACAATTTGGGATACTTACTGGGTAACTTATTACCTAAATATTCCTATTTTAACATGTGAAAATATGAAAGTTTGCCTTCCATAGGAGAACAAAGAAACGGAATATGGAAATAATAATTTGATTATATTGGCAAAATATTTAATTCACAAATATGATTCCCACATTGTACCCATCAGTCATCAGTTTCGCTCTGGTACTTAAACTAAAATAACTATACATGAAACTCACCCCAGTTTTAAAATACACCAGTAGTTAGGCTGTCTGAAATCAAAATGTGCAATGTGGTAAGCTTAAATATTCCCTTAATGTGTAAGGTTTTACTAAAAACAGAGAAGCAGACAGGAACTATAGATTACTTCGGACCCAGTAAATAATTGTTTTCCTAGTAGTTAAATGAGGCAATGGAAATACATATGTCATGCAAAGATTGCTTTATTTAGTTTTAACCTTCCATGTTTCCACAACATAAACACGCTGCAGTAACTCTACAGCTGAACCTTATATTTAGGTCACTCAATTGTAAAATGTAACGCTTATACTTACCACCACTAGAGGGAGACACACACAGTAAAATAGTTGTACTTGGCCCTTTCAAAATGTAAATAATGTGCAATGCTTTATTTTATGAATAAAGGTCCCTTTCAATTAAAACCTATTGATCTCAGCTTGGAATGATCGGAACAGTTTTTACTGTATTTATAGAACTACATCTATAATTACTTACTAGCTAATTGCTTGTTTCACAGTGTGTATACTCAACATGGATCTTTAGTGATGGTTTAAAGTAATACATAACAATTAAGACAGTTATCATAAGTTCAAGACACCAGGTGCCTTTTTATTATAACAAGAACATGTTTTTACAAATTGAAAAGGGAAAAATACATTTCTTGTAAAGTATACATTTATACGGGGAAGGAAACATATTGCAGATATCATTACTACAACCTAATGTTTAGAAAAACAGAACAAACATTGTGTAAACTCTACGAGGGAGTATCTCACAAAGTACTGAAGCCGAGACAACAGAAAACTTGGCCAACAGTTTCTTTTTCACAAACCAAAGTGTAACAAAAACATTTAATGATATGCACAAATGGTTGCAGTGGATTTAATGTGTTACAGAACAGTAAATAAATATGAATTTATTATACCTCAATATTTATGTGTTTTTTCCTTTTTATGAGAAAAATGTCTCCTAACAATATATCTATTTGTAAATAGTTCGAATTGATTTATGCATAAGGGACATTAAAATACAAAATATATATTCTGTTGTTTGACATTTTAGAGGCTGTTGACTGGTGCGAGACCTATCAAAATTGCATGCTTAAGACATCAGATTTCTTAAACAAAATCTTGCTTACAAGGGAATTATACAAAAAGGAAGAACACAGCCATAGGCTCAAACTAATAGGAGGGAGAAGGGAAATTCCTTTTCCCTCCGGACAAGATCACACACTGTGGCCAACGGGCCAGTTCTCAGACACCAACCGATACTTAGGCCTGTCTTAATTGCCAATCTCCAAGATGGCTGTATACTGTACAACATATCACATCTCCAACACATCTCTACACATGAACACAATCAAATCTAGAGGCACAACGTAATGTTGTCCCATTGATTCAAGAAATGTACACAATTGTAGAGAGCGTAACTAAGAATCACGTGATATTTTAAAAGGGGGGGGCATTGTGAAAACATACAGGACATGTGTTCTGTTCACAGTCACAACTCGTTTATCAACGACTGACTAAAATATTTGCCACACTAAGAACAAATTGAAATAACACTGAACTTAAAATATGCTATATAAAATGCCCAATAATCACAAGTTTATTTATAAACAAGATTATACAAAAAAACGAAATATAAACAAAGATTGGGAAATCATATAAAAAAGGCAAAGACTAAAACTCCTTAAGGAAATAAATACCCAGTGTGTATGCTGCGGCTTCACTGCAGAAAATAAATGCTAAAAGAAAAGAGACTAAAGGACTCTCTCTGTCCTGCGTATGACCCTGCACCACGGATCCCCACCATTTCTGTAAGCAGGCAATGTGTATAAATAAGGCATTAATAAATAAAAAGAATGGATGAAATAAAGGTGTAGCTGTTAGTATAAAAGCATATAAAAATGTCCTATTAAATCATGTTTACAGTTTTGCCCTTTTTCTTTTCTATTTTCAACAAAGAGTGCCTTCTTATAATAAAAAAATATACAGCAGCTCATCTGGGCAGGAAGCTTGTTTTTTTTATTTGAACTGTTCAGGTATATGTCCCATCTGAGACTGCATGCTCGTCGGTGGACTTGAAATGCCCTCCGACCAGTCGGACATGTTGGAGTGAGGAGAAGAACTGGACCACTGGTCGGGGGAGCCGGGGGAGGGGGTCAGAAAGGGGTGATCGGGCACCTGCACCTGGTGGTTTGGGGTGTTGTCCATGGGGCCTGAATAGCTGTGCTGGGAGGGTGGCGTGAGGAACTGGGTGCTGGGCATGGACTGGCTGATGATCTGGGTGTCCTGCGGCAGGATGGTGTGGATGGGTAAGCTGGAGTTCCCGCTGCCCTGCTGGAGCTCCGGGGAGCCCAGCTCGCCGCTGATGAAGTTTTGGCTGCTGGTGGTGTTAGAGTTCTGGTGCTGCAGCTGGATGCTCTGTTGCTGCTGCTGCTGCTGCTGCTGGAGCTGCTGCAGGTTCTGCATCTGCTGCATCTGCTGCTGCTGCTGCAGGATGTGGGGCTGCGGGCCCAGCCTGCTGTTCTGGATCCCCTGGTAGCTCATCATCTGAGACAGGCTGTTGGCAGGGTGGCCGTTATGGAGCGCGGCCATCATGCCGTGCTGCAGGGCTGCCTGACCCCCGGCTGCTCCTCTCATGGGGTTAAACTGGCTGGACTGGCTCATGTTGCCGTGCATCCTGGACAGCCAATCGCATTGGCCGTTGATAGCGCCCTGACCACCAGCGCCAGACACGGGCATGTGGGTGAGACGGGGGGGCAGAGGGTCAAACTGCATTCGAGCCAGCTCCTGCTTGTTTGGCATCACCATGTGGTTCACAGACAGGTGGGGGTCGGACATACCCTGCAGATGGTTCAGGGACACAGGTGACTGCTGGAAAGGGGACGTCATCATGGGCGGCGAGGCCACGTCAGACACGTAGCCGTGTGGAGACTCCAACGAGTCGACCGGTGACAGAACACCTGAGCCGTCCAGCAGGTTTCCGGACTTCCCGTCCTGCGAGTTCTTCTTCTTCACCTTCATATCTTTGCCGTCCTTGCAGCCGATGCCCTTGGCGCTGGGCTTGCGCGCCTTCTTGCCCTGGCCCTGAGGCTGGTGCTGCTTCATACCCAGGTAGCCGTTGGGCGAGCAGAGGGGGGGGGACAGTGTGGTGCCCATCGACCCTCCATGCATGTGAGGGCTCCGTACCAGGTTGTAATCGTCCATCAGCCGCACGATGTCATGGTGCATTCTTTCCTGCGCAATGTCTCTGGGCAGCCGGTCCATGTGGTCGGTGATTTCTCTGTTAGCAAAATGGTCGAGTAAGACCTTGGCAGTCTCGAAGCTTCCTTCCCTCGCAGCCAAGAATAGAGGCGTTTCCTCCTGAGGCAGACAGAAAGGAGACAGCGTGTTTAGAGACTTTCAGGAATGCTGTTTCGGAAGGACGTATCACTATTTGTCTTCTTAGCTTTTAATGTCTAAATAATTCGTTTTCATACAATTCCCATATCCTGGTTATTCATTGTGACTTTTATTTATTTCTATCAATGAATTATTTTCTTTCAAAATGTTGTCTGTTTTTTCCCTTTAAAAAAATAAATCTTTTTCAGTCTGTTTATGTTTTGGGCTGCATGTTTGTATGGAAGATACTACATGAATGAATCTGGGTTGTTTTACAAAACTAAGAGCAGTTTTTCTCACCTTGTTATTTTGCATGTCCTTGTTGGCACTATTCTTGAGAAGCACAATTGCAGCCTCCACGTTATTTACTGCTGCGGCCCAATGCAGGGCTGATTTACCTGCAGAGGCAAAACAAAGGATTAGTATTATAAAGCATTTTTAGATGCAGTTAAAGCTCTGATTTAACTACATAAGGTACTTCATTGCATCATTAGGATAAAATGGAAAACTTACCAAAATCATCGATTGTATTGACGTCAGCGTGACAGTTTATGAGCTCCTCCACCATGCCCTCCACGGCCAGCCTGGCAGCCAGGATGAGGGGTGTCGTGCCGTCATGCATGCGGGCGTCCAAGTCTGTAGCACGGTTCCTAATCAGAATCTAAAGAGACACATATCACGTTACTCCTTTTATTATTTTGACTTCTGGTCTGCAATAGTATAACGATTATTTGACAGCTTTCCTTTTGAGGGCTGCAACCATTTTTGACTGGAATTTTACCAATGAATTGTAAAGTCTGTGAAATGTAAAAATGACAATCCTCATTTCACACAGCCCAGGAATCTTCAAATAGTTACATTTGTCTAAAAATCCAAACCCAAATTATTACATTTAATTAATTAAGAAATATAAAGAATAGGAAAGCAGCAAATCCTCCCACTTGAGAAGCTAGAAAGGACTAATGTTTGGCATTTATATTATATATTTTAATATTATAATTGACTGCTAATTCAACTCAACTGTTTAATCCAAGAAATAATTAAGAAATAATCTTGGCATCGAGAACCCACCTGGAAGACCCCCTGAGCGTCAGCGGCCACAGCGGCGTGGAGAGGCGTCCGGCC